AATCCCGATACCGAAGAAGAGGACGATGGGGATGATGGCAATGACACCCATGTCGCCAAAGATAGACTCCATCTGATGACTTGCACACCACAGTCCGATCGTGACGAGCGTCACGATCGAAACAAACCACTGGATGCCGGTGAATTTCTCCTTAACAGGACGGATCGGGGAGATGGTAGTTCCCTTGCTTGGTTGGAAAGTGATCAACAACAGCACCCAGATGAGGAGCAGAGAGACGATGCCCACGGGGATGACAATGAAGAACCATTGAATCCAGGTAGGTGCCGGTTTCATGATTCCGATGGCGACGACATTCTGCGGAGACGCGATGGGTGAGAGCATACCCCCAATGTTGGAGGCAAGCGCAATGCCCATGATAACGGCCTTGGACATATTGGACTCGGAAGGTAGGGTGCGCAGCATCGGCTAGAGTCGGTGTAAGCTTGCAGCACCAGTAAAATTCATCAGGCGGGAACTGACCTCAATGATTGAGAAGCAGAGCACTGGCGCAGCGACGTTACTGATCAACATGCTGGCAAAGGCAGCGACAAGCATGTTGGCAATAAGAACGGTGCGTGGAGTGGTGCCCGCCTTGCTGAGAACAAAGGTTGCAAGACGCTTGTCGATCTTGCATTTTGACAGAGCGGCCGCGAGCGTGAAGCCGCCAAGCAGAAGCATGATGACGGGCGTCCACATGGCCGAGAAAATGTAGGCAGTCGTGGCCTTCGCATCAAGTCTCCTATAAGGCTTGTCGTCGGAGCGGACAACAGTCAAAACGACACACAGGAAGGGTATCATAAGCGACGTGACAAACAACGGGATGGCCTGTGTGCAGGTTAGTAACAAATTGTGCCCACAGCCTCCTGGAAACTGACCTCTGTAGCCCAAAGGATGCTGACAAACACAACCAAAGCCAAGCAGTTCTGTTGCTCGGGTTTCTCCATGATGGGCAGGAAAATGAGCAGAAAGAAGACGACAACGGAGACGAAAAGAGTGAGCAAAGGCGTACTCGCGATCCATGTAGGAACAACAAAACGGCCAACAGGGGTGACGACTTCCTTGGTTGCAGGGGCAAGTTCATCATCACCCTGAAGTCTCCTCAGCCTAGCTGCTCCGTCCCTACCTAGAAGCGATCTTCCTAGGCTGGCAGCCTCTGCGCGACGCTCCATTCCGATCATGTCTCGCCAGACAGTATTGCGCTCCCAGACGACATGCTCCCGGAGGTGAGACCTAAGATCGCGCTTGGCAAGTCCTTCGTCGCCATTTGTGACAACCTCGGCGTAAGCTTTTTCCATCTTGGAAATGTTTTCTTCGATCGTCTTGATGCTCTCTACTTTGAATGGGTACGCAGAGTCGACGTTGGCAGTCATGTACTTGACTCGCAGCTCTTTGTCCAGGATCTTGTCGAACTTCTTTAGGACCTTTCTGAAACCAGTCCTGTTCAGCTGTACGTATGACTTGAGCTCGCAGAGAGAAACGTAGAGGTTGATAATGCGCTTCTTCAGCATGATGCCCGAAGAATACATGAAAGACTGGTCCGGCAACTCGTCGTGAGCGGTGCTGTACCGCCGCAATGACCTTGCCAGCGTCAATTCAGTGGATGCTGTCATCTCTGTTGTCGACTGCCCAAGATTCGGAACCGTCTTGCGTCTGCCGAAACCCAGACTGGAACGACTTTTCGTCAGTCCTGTTGTCTCGTCATCGTCTTCGTCATCGTCGCTGTCTTCGATATTGCCGTCAATGGAGATGGATGTCCGTCTAGCGTTGGACACCGACAACCCCGGGCGGGACGCGCTGCCAAACGACCGTCGTGGCTCGCCACCGTTCTCTTCGTCCTCGAAGGTACGGTTACCGATGTCTCCCAGCAACTGATTGACCTCGTCCAGAAGCTCGCCCTCCTTGGAAACATAGAAAGAGCAGATCTTCTCCAACTCTACGCCAAGCGCACGGCTAAAAACTTCTTCGGGATCTTCGTTTCGGATGAGGGGTCTCGATTCGGCATCTCCTGAGGTGGTTTGGTGGACGGTCTTCTCGAGCTGGTAGATCCTACGACGTGGCATTAGTTATCCGCACGCGCACAGGACCGCCGTGCGGCGCATGAGCAACTCACAGCTTCTTGAGGTTGCTGTATGCAATGTAATGACTGCTCCAGTCCGGAACAGCATTAAACTGAATGCTGTGTGAGAACTTCATATCGTCTTGCTCCTCGAGCCACTGTCTCTTCCAAAGTCTCTTCTGCTGCAGTCGGGTCTCGTGATCCTTGGCTGTCTTCCTTGCGGTAATGTGATTGTAGTTCGCAAGCTCGTAGTTCTCAGTAGTGGAGTCGTTGTTGTTGTTGTTGTTGTTGTTGTTGTTGGTGGTGGTGGAGCTCCCTCCCCGATCCCCTAAGCCTGTCGACGGCTGGTCTAGATCAATTAGGACTGGTGGGCTTGCAGCGCCTGCTTGGTGGGTAGAGGAGGGATTGCGGAGATCTTCTGGGGCGGTATGGTGGCGGAGGGTCGGGTGAGCCTTCTTATCGGCGGTTATCGCGACGTGCTTCAAATGCTCGGGATTGAATCTAAGCTACCTCGATAGCATCTCGCGACTTCTTTGGTGGCTGCGACACGTGCGGAAAGCGTTGGTCATCCTGTTTCCCAGCTTGTTGAGCGAGCCCCGTGACGATGTGCTTGGTTTCACTTAGGATTAGCGTACCGCATAATCCAGATCCACGGGCGCCACGTCCTATGCGATTGGCGACGATACCATTGGTTGCGCTCTGATGGTCATGGAACAGACAAAGTCCACAAAACCACTTATATCTTACGTAATGCAGTGACGCGACATAGGTACTCTGTTAGTAGCGTTAACCTGGTTGTGAGATATACACTGTTTACAGCGATCCAGCAATCCGGTTGCTGCAAACGCTCCGTGAGCATTTATGATCCATCCCCCAAAGTTTACCTAGAGTTGCGACAACCTTGTCAACTCTTTGGTCAACAAATGGTTCGAGGTCAAATATTGGATCTCGCCCAACGTTTTTTTGTAATTGTACGAGTACCGAAACACAAGCAGCACCGTCGAAAGAGCCCCGGCAGTAATAAACTATATACACTATGTACTAAGGGACGAGTCCAAGGCTGTCCCCCGTAGGGTCGCATACGGTTTATTACTTTTAACAATGCACACGCCGGTCATGCGGATAGAATCCCAAGAGATTAATACTCAGGACGAATAATTGTTTCCTACCGGAATATCTCTTATCAAGGGCAACATGTAGGACACCCCAGGCTTGGCCGCTATTCATAAGCCACCAGATTAATTATAAGGACGTCCGCTGCATTGAGCAATGGAAGACGATTCTTTGGCTGCCTTTCTCTGACCCGCACCAATCTCTCTCCGTGACCACGTTGGTGAGATATCAAACATGATTGGAACGCTGGGTATGTCCATCCTTGTCCCTGAGAAAGTCAACCCTGTCTCTATTGTGATCAAAGACTGCGCCGCATTGTATGTCATCGGAACGTGGATACAGGGCTATACCTGGAGTCCGTAGAAGAATGGTGTTGCTACGATGGCCCGGTAGTACGCTTAGTCTGAGCATTTGAGCGCAATCCCTCGCCACACCAACTCTAGACAATGTTTTGGAAGGTCGTTCGCAAAAAAAGACGGGGTTGGCAAGGAGAAGAAAGCTTGCCACGAAGATCAGAGATCTAAAACAACCTCTCTAATTCTTGGTTTGAGTATTGACGCCTCCTACAACTAGGCCCTATCGCGAAGCTGCAGGCGCTATCAAACGACACGGCTGTCGTGAGATTACCATGCTTTGCCGTAGTCATGACATTTGTCGCCGTCTCATCGTCCTGGGTTATTGCGCTTAACCCATCGCAACCGGCCAGAAAACCGAGACTATGCAATCAAAGTTGCGTGGTAGCCTGGCAGCTTGAGCACATCACAGTTCTGTTGCAGAAGCCCGCTAACTGAGATGTTGCTAGAGATAGCAGCAACGGCCCAGCAGAGAACCCAAAGATGTAGGTCAAGACAGTCAGATCCGTCAGTGCAGTATTGGCTTCGATCTTGAACACACCGATCACTCGTACGGGAAGGGGCACAAGCGGAAGATATTTCTTGTAGCGTCAACAACGGCGCAACATCCAAAGGTATCACTGCATGTAAGCCATGTGGTAGCAATGGCGTGACACATGTTGCGAGCGCAACGATGAACACATGTGTCTCGAAGACTACAAAGTTGTGCCGAAGGGTTTGCGCTCATCCAAAATTGACACCCGGCGTGCACCTGATATCGGCGATTGTTTCTTAACCGGCGTCTCCGTTTCCAGGAAGCAGGCAACTTATTTTGGGTGTTTTTCGTACAACGGGCGCCAGCTCGACATATCAATCTTTCGCCTGAAGCTACAGGCTTTGCCCATAACTGCTCTCGTTTCCGGGAATTTTGGGCCTGAGGTATCGGACGTGACTCATGGCCCCTCTTGTCCCGAGAGTTTGCGGATACTCTACGATTCACAAGCGGCGATGGAGGGGCAGAAAGTGGTATGATATACTGGCCGGACCAAACTTTCTATACCGAAGACACGGCGGTGACAGTTATAAGCAGTCTGCCTACAGGCTGCTTCGTTTTTTGTGTAAACTCAGGGCAAGGGGAAGGGCCTCTGTAGGCGCAGATACTCCCAGGTTACCACATTGGTACAAGAACCCTGAGCTTTCATGATTCCATCGGACACATCCTTTAATCGATAAATGTCTCAGGTTCGAATCGCGGTGTTGCGCGTAAACTCTCATTTGGAACTTGTGGAGTGGCCTTAGTTCGGTGTTCGTATTGCTATGTAGAGTCGGATAAGCACTCCTTTTTCTACTTGACTTGTCGAAAGCTAACACGAAGACTCTATCCTTAGAATCTTGTTCCACACATGCAGCCTATCGCCTTCAGCCGTTGGTCGTATGCGTTGATATCACGGTTGATTAAATCATGCAGACTTTTACTACGCCGGCCTACTTACCTTCTCATGGATGAGTTTACTGGCCGCTCTCTTGCAAAATTAGAGGTGGCTGTAAGTAACGGCAAACGACATATCAGAAACAAAACCGGCAACGAAACATCGTGTTGGTCAAATGAGAATCAAGTTACAACGCTACCTTCACTGAAATAGTTCGCGGACTGGCTCATATACTCCTCATAGCCAAGAGATTCAGAGTTCTTTCGTAGAAGTGGTATTTTCAAAGGTCTGATCCGGCCTTTCTCGGCGATGGAATACCCAGATAATGCCTCAAAGCCCTCTGAACCTCTTGGAAACGTCGGAAAGAGCTGCACGACAAGCAGTAAGGATGAGGTTGCTGTTGCGTCAAGAGACAAAAATATGAAAATCAAATACTTCGACGGAAACCTACATTGGCTACAAGAGACAGAGTGATTCTCATTCCGATTTCACGTGAGAACCCAAAAGGTATGATAGGACTTCAACCACCACGACCCAAGAAGAGCGAATCAGTGTCTTCAGGGATGGGTAAATAACCAGTTGTTGTAGACCCTCTAAGCCTTCCGAAATGGCATAAAACTCATAGAGGACACGATGGTGTTGTGTACACCATGGGACGTACAGGAATTTGGAGCCCTAGCAGAGAGATCTTGGCTTACATAGAGGCCTTTCAGACGGGATATCCGGCGTGTGTCTCATCACCGCTCTGTCCAACCTAACCGTTTTCGTCATGCCCGACTATGAGCGTGAAGGAATCACAGTTGATCGGTTTCTGGATCTCTCAACGGTCTCTAGCCTATTTCTAGGTATTGGTAGTTAGGTCTCAATGCCAATAGCCGCAGCCGTCAGCCGAGGTCCCGTGATGCTAGTATCCACTGCGCTTCTCTTCATATCTGCTATCCTCTGCGCAACGAACCGCATGGTCGCGGCCTTTGCTGGGGCTCAGTGTCAAGTCCTGGCACTACTTATCATGCAAATAAAAGTGTCCGGTTGCTCCGATCCTGTTACAAAGTTGTAACTCTGTATGCTGCAAGACAACTACTTCCTCCACCAACGCGCACACGTCTTTGAAAACTACGCGTTTGCCGAAGTCGTCATAAACTAAAGCTTGGCCATTGTATCTTCATACATGGTTGATGCACTCCGATGGAGGTCTGGATATCGGATGTTTGCCGGTTTCTCGGGCGTAGCCATGAGTCTCATCGCCCTCTTGGTTCCTGAGACGGCATATGGCCGACCTATCGAGGCGTTCATGGGAACCAGCACGAATGGCTTACCAACTCAGAACGGCAGCCCGGCACTTGGACGGAAGCCAGTCACCCGCTCCAAAGCATACGACGATCGTCAGGGAAACAGTCGGTAGTTAAGAGAGATACGAAAAGCGAACTTTATTTCTAATCTCCAGATCTTTGTGTACAACCCCACAGGCATCGGTGCTGGCTCTGTATGAAGAGGATCGGGCAACTCTGCCCTTTCCCTCACGTTCTCCGGGCACCAGTCAGCAACGGCCTCTTCCAGGGCATCAATACCTCCATTCAAACGACCTACGCGGGAACATTGATGAAGCCGGCGGACAACTGGAAGAATGTATCCGTTCCCCTCATTCAGCTTGGACAGCTTCCTATCGTGCTTCTGTGTGTGCCGCTCATCAGCTGGCTCAGCGACCACGTCGTCCGTTGCGGAGCCCGCCGCCACCAAGGAGTTCACGAGCCGGATAAAAGGCTCATCGCGTGGATTATACCTATGATTATGACATGTGCCATTCACATTATAAATCCTCTCGCACGTGGACTCGTGGGTTTTGGGCTCAGCCCGCGTACTATGCAATATCTTGCTAGTATTGGATCTGCTACTACCTTTGGCATATATGCGGCTGTTAGTGCGGTGTTCTGCTTGCTTGGCATCATCTCGTACTTCACCAGAAAGAGAGTCAGAAGAGCATGTGCTCGGCTGACTCAATGAACCGAGAATTCTATCTGATTATGAGTAGGTATGTACGGTTTAGCCTTCCTCAGAGGTAACAGTGAACAACAAACCCTGACCACAGGTAAACAGAAAACTGTCAAGGTCACCCACTCTACTCTAGCTATGCCAATCCTCGATGGGACTAGAACACAGCAAATAGCACGAGCACAATTGCATTCCAGTCTTCAATAGCGAGAAATGAAAATACATTACCGAGATTCTCAGCGGGAACACAAGCATTAGGTCTCTGCGGCGATGAGCTTTGCAAGTTAAAGTAGCATAGTTACTAGGGGATACGGTGCATCTTACTAATTCGTTGTACTGTGAGATGGGCGAATGTAGTGCCTAGTTTTAAGAGGAAGGTTTTAGCTTCAATGCCGACCGGGAGTTGTATACAGAAGAGGTTTTGACTAATGACTTGGTACTCAAGACTACCCTGCGTCGGGTATTGATATGGAAGGGGGAGAAGGGGGTTAGAACTTACCTATAGACGGGTAGATCCCGTTGGCATATGTTCCACAGGCCCAGTAACGGGTCTATAAATACCAATTTCCAATCCTCTCGAAAGGATATATTCAAAGTCTGTTCCCTGTTATGGAACATGAGATTTGGTCTTGGTCGTATAGTCCTTGTAATTAGTTATTGTCTCGTTCTTGTCGTCTGTCCGATCCCGTCCTCCAGCGCTTCAGTCTCCCGGATTATGAGAGGCAGCAGGGGCCGAAGAGGCTGGGGAGGGAGAGCCCGGGGCAACTGGGGCGGCGGGAGATCCAATGTGGCCAGAGATTACACCCCGACCGTCAACATCGACGATGAGGATCAGCTTGAGGCCTGTAGGGCCTGTGGCCCACTCCAGCATGCCGTCAAGGCCTTCCTCCGCAAGCGTGTCAAGACGAGCCTCTCTGACAACATCTGAGACGATGGGCTGGCCTCCGATACCACCAACACGATCAGCAGCGAAGAATGGAACGTTGACGTGCCCGACCATCCAGGTCTGCTGGGCAGGAACCATGGTAGGCGGCATCGTGACAGGGTTCGGGCCGTACGAGTGCAGGTAATTGGCACCACCCGAGTAGGTGAGAGCCAGTGGGTACCCGGAGACCATCGCCGTTTGGGGATGTTGCGGGTAGACCATAGGGTAGCCGACGTTGAAGCTGAAGAGCTGCGACGGCTGGTAGATGGGTAGAGTGATCGCGGCGGTTGAGCTGTTGGTGCCTGGGATGGATACGACTCGTCCATGTCGAGTCCAGTAAAGGGTGATTTGCTCCTCAGCAACGGGGTCGGGGCGGCCAAGACGAACCATAGAATCACGGACGAGTTTGAGGATGTCGGCTTTCTTCCCGGTCGCGGAGAGGCGTAGATGGAAACTGCGGACCCAGGGCGGCAGGCCATTGGGAGTGTTGGAGTAGATGTGAGTTTCGAGAATGATCATGGCGTCGGCCATCGTTACTGTTGCTTTCCTGTCTGTGCTGGTCAGTATATACATTCAAAAGGTAGCAAAACCTGGAATTATGAGGGTATTCATATTTGCTCGAAAATTCATCATGACCGAAGGCGGAAAGAGAGCAATCTTACCTATGATGGGCTCTTCTATTTGTCTAGTGGCGACAAAACTCAGCTGCGACAGAATTTGGAGGTTGAGTTTTCTTGAAAACATGAAAGAGCAAGAGAGTCTTGAAAGAGCGTTTAAACACTTGAATTCATGAGGAAGGCGAGTGGAGGGGCTAGTGTCACGGGGGCGTGAATCATCTCTTTGCTCAGATGCAGATGAGTCGTTACGGGAGATGACTGGCCTCTTTACATATCGTCCAGTTACCTTGGAGCCCTGGTTCCTCTTTTCACTACAAAACGTCTCTGTTCGAGCCTGGACAATGTTTCCTGGACGTGACTTGTTGGCAGCGCAGTCAACATGCGTAAGGTACTTTAAGTGTGTTGGTATGCCACATAAATACAACGCACTGGAGAGCATAGTACAGCAGTGAGCTGGGTGAGAGTTTCCTGGCCAAAGTTTCGATTCATGAGTTTCATAAACACAGCAGGACTGTGCGAATAAGAATCAAATGAATGTGTTTATGCGTGAAGAAATCACACACTCCTCAAGGTACCGGCGATGAACCACATCACGACCTTCGGTAGCTCAACAGACGCCTACTAGTCTCCAAACAGCCAAGTAAATGAGCTCAGTGGCGTGAGAGGTGGCGAGGATGAGGATAATAATTCCCGCAGTTCATCGACCATACCAATGGCACTGAACCTCAGGAGCTTACGAAAGCAGCGATAGCTTCCTGGGAGAATGATCTCGCGAAGGGTAGTGGCGGTACGGTTCTCGCCGCTGGTAACTTTGGAGTTGCAATGCATATCCGCTCAGCAAAGGGCCTTAACGACGAGAAAATTGACACTTTTAGCGCGTGATTTACTGTCGGATGTTGAAGATTACGCTGGTGGCGAGAGAGTTCAGAGATAATGCTAGAGGAAACTGGTGGGTGTTGATGGTCCAGAAGCTTTGCATCTGAGGGAACGTTCTTGTTCCCAACCCAGTACGAGTCTTCATGTGCTTTCCATGTCACAAAGTCATTCCTCCTGCTCCTCTCATCTTCTTCGCGTGCTTGAAGAAGAAATTGAATGGTAGTTATTAACATCCACCACTAGCTAGCTCGCTTTCTCCTGCCTCGAGGATAGGGACCGAAGAGCCAGCTTTTGCGAGATTGATAGCGACTAGCCTACCGCTAAGACCGCTGCTGATGAGAATGCAATCACACTCATTAACAGCAGACCTGTGTAGGTGCGCTTGCGACGGGTCTCGAAAGAGAGAACGACCAGAACCACAAGTGAGAGTAAAAGGAGTTTGGCGCGCTTTACCTGGTTGATTTGGCCCCAGTTCAAGCACCTACATATGCTGACTAAGTGAGTATTAGTCAGCGCTTCTTTCTGACCTCGAGATTGTTGACATAGCAACGCGTGGCATAAACATCCAAATTACCGTCACAACTGTTGCATCCCATCATCAGCAGCCCCTCCCTCACATGCAAATTCCGGACCTTTCGCTTTCGATCGTATGTAACCATCTCGAAAGCAGAACCGAAGTCGAGTCCCGCACCCCTCGGAGTTTTATTTTTGCCCACTATGTCTTCAGCATTCCGAGAATCGTCGCTGTCGGCCAGCCTCAACCGACAGTCCTTGATGGCGACTCCGTCTGTCGCGGAGACGCTGCCAAATGCGAACTTTGGCTTTGAGGAGCTTCGCGACCGCATGGCCAAATTTACCTCCAAGTTCGACACATTCATCGAACAAGGCCGAAAGCGCGTTTTGGAGGAGAGGAACGAGTTTCGCATGAACCTTGCGGAACTGCAAGGTACGTAAAGCACAGCCACCCAATACACACAGATCAGAAAGCTGACGTCTGTTGCAGAGGATCAACGTATGAAGAAGAAAGATATCGAAATCCTGCAGCTCAAGACCAGCACGCATCAGCAGACGGTTGCCAAAGAGAAGGCTGAAACGCGCGAGATGACAGCTGCCATCGCACAGCTATCCGAAGAACGCGACAAGCACCTGGCGACTAGAGACGCCCTCAAGAAGCAAATAGAGGAGACCCAACGAGAGATCGACGCCCGTCTGGTGGCGCAGCGGGCGCATGCGAAACAACTTGAAGCACAGTCACGATTCAACGTACCCGAACTTGAGTTCTGGCAGCAGAACCTGGGGTTGCGAATCGAAGGCGCGGGCAAGGACGACCGGCTCAAGTTCGTCTACACATATGTCGACGACCAGGACTGGGAGAGAGAAGCATGGTTTGAGCTTAACACGTCGAGCCGAGACTACGATATCCGGCACTGCCGACCCAAGCTGGAGCGCGAGCGGGTTGAGCGGGTGCTCGACCAGCTTAACGAGACGAGAGAGCTAGCGGTGCTGCTCAAGGGCATGCGGGAGCTATTCGTTGAGGCGATGAAAAATTAGAGTGTCTCGAGCAAGCCAGTTTTTCGAGTTTGTGCAATGACGATGTTGACGATACCGACGATAGTTTTCTTTTCAATGGATACCCAGATTTTCTCGCATGCTGTCTTAGGGACCAGGAATGGCTTGAGTGGAGCGGAGTGTGGCTTGACGCCGTCGCCCATGCGGACGACGGGTTGTTTTCTTGTACTTTCACAAATATCCTCTGTTATATCCATGCGAACGTATCGAGTTAGTAGTAGATCTGTGGTGGCAGAGATAAAAGGTCACTACAGGGTTTCATACTTGTGACTATTCAGGACCATCCTATAATAGGTTGCACAGATAGCGTAAACAGCACGCACGACACATGATTGGGCAGGGGGCTTTGCACATTTTGGACGCGGTCAGTGACCATCCCTCGCCCTCTAGACGCCACAAACTCTATTCCAAAACCCGCCGTTCAAGTTTCTCACTTCTTTCCTTCTTCGTAGTTATAAACGCACCGTCTGTTTGTTGTTGTTCTTGTTGTTATTGTCGTCAGTTGGAACCCCCAACTTCCAGACAATACCAACCCTCGAACAATCTTATCGCCGCATCCGGCGACGTTTTGCTCAAATAACTTTTCCTGCCCCATCGACCATCCCTGTCCGCGACAAGATGCCCGAGGTTAGCACGAATCTGCTCAGTCTGCCAGATCTTTCATGACTCGGGGGACCTTGGCCTTCCGAACGGAGAAACCACACCATCCTCCCCGCCTCGTACGACGAATTTCGTTACTCGCATTTTCTGCTCACTGCTCCGCTGCGCTACGCCGCACTGCCAGTCCCAGCACCTCAGTCTGCCACACCCTTGTGCTGCCAGCTCCAGCAGAACCAAGAAACAAACATCCAATAGGGGCCCAACGGAGAAGACAACGCCCCGTCTCCCCTCAACAGGAAACAAGCGGGGCCGCAAAGTCGAGGACACGGCAAGGGGCTCGCCCGTCGTTATCATCCAATTGATTCGATCCACAGTCCGGGCACAGGTCGGAGAGTAGGCCTATGCCTCTCGGTCGCCGCCGCTGAGATCACGGGCAGCACCCGGCATTCTGACCGAGCGGAGCTTGGCCTGACTTGACCACGCGAGTCCGGAGGTGACGCGGAACTCCGCAGTCCTCGTCTGCCGCTCTCTTTGTCCACCCCTTCCGATTTCCCATGGCCTTCGATGCTGCCAACCATCCCAGTCCCGCCGGCTCCGTGGCTTCGTCAGTGACCCCCAGCCTTAGTCACAACAAGCGTGGTGTCCCCGACCAGCCCAGCCCGGCAGGGCCCGGCAATGCCGACTCCTGCACGCCGACCGGCGGCGATGCCTCGCCTCCCTCGCAGCCGTCCGGTGGTACGAATAAGAAACGTCGCATGGGTCCTGGCTCCAGGGGTGTCGCCAATCTGACACCCGAGCAGTTGGCCAAGAAGCGCGCCAACGGTGAGCATAATCACCGCCCTTCCTTGCCTGTATTGTTATTGTGTCTTTGCTCCACGCTTGTATCGTACCCGATTTCACACATCATCCACGCGTCTCCAGTTGAAGTTAATAGTTCCGTACGCTGCCCGCTATACCCCCGTCCGACTCTCCACAGCATTGACTCCCTCAGTTGCAATCACTGACGACACACCACGGCTAACCGATGTGCCATTGCCCCTGATCAGATAGGGAAGCCCAGCGAGCGATCCGGGAGCGCACCAAGAACCAGATCGAAACCCTTGAGCGCCGCATCTTGGAGCTGACGTCGCAGCAGCCCTACCAGGACCTGCAGGCCGTCCAGAGGGCCAAGGAGGCCGTCGAGGCCGAGAATGCCGACCTGAAGCGCCGCTTGGCGGCGTTCATCGCCTCTATTCAACCGCTGATCTCAGCTTCTCCGCCAACACAGCCCGAGCCGTCACAGCTCGGCGATCTGCATACCCGGCACGGCCCTAACGGATCCACAGCTCTGGTAGAACCTCCTGTCTTCCCCTCCCCGAGCGCAAGTCACTCGCATGTCCATCAGCTGAATGGGCCCGTCTCGGCGAACTACGCGTCGACGCCGAACAGCGTGGCCTCGCCAGCCTCCATCGATCCCACCGCCGGCTGGCAGGCGACGCCGGGTAGCGGCGTCTCGGACCCGTCCTCTCCCAACCACATGTCAGCCGCGAGCAAGATGCTGAATCAGCAGCGGCAAGACCTCCGTCATGGCCTTGACCTCGGCCCGGAGAAGCTAGGGTTGGAATTCCTTCTCGATCAGAATGCTCGCCTCGCCAAGATCCAGAGTGGCGTCAACGGCGCCCAGGATTCGTCGGTGTACCATCACATTCCCATGAAGCATGACTGGACCGCTGTTGCCTCCGTCCATCCTAACCGAAGTCCGTCCCTCAGCGGACCGATCGTTCATAACCCCCGGTCACAGGCCGAATGCCCTCAGCAGGTGCCAAGCGCGCCCACCGAGCCGAGAGGCTCAGCGAGCTACTCGGCAGAAGTCAAGAACTGCGGACCGACATGCCCGCTGGACAGCCTCCTCCTCGACTTCCTCCACGAGCGCCGCCAGCGGGCGGCCGACGGCCTTCCGACGAACGAGATCATCGGCCCGCGCTACCCGTCGGTGCTCTCGCTCCTCAACCCCGCCAACAGCAAGTTCTCGCACCCGCTCTCCAAGGTCTTCACCGACATCCTCGCTACCTTCCCGGATCTCTCGGCCCTGCCCCAGCGCGTCGCGGTCCTGTACATCATGTTTCTCATCATGCGCTGGCAGATATCGCCGACGCAGGAGAACTACGACCGCCTACCCGAGTGGGTGCGCCCGCGGCCCTCGCAGCTGTTCACCGAACACCCCGCCTGGATCGACCACGTGCCCTTCCCGGCCATGCGCGATAAGCTCTGCCGGGACTATAACCCACGCGAGTACTTGTTCGACACCTTCTTTGTGCCGTTCACGACGACGCTGAGCCTGAATTGGCCCTACGAGGAGACAGATACCTTGCTACAAGTGCCGGATTCGGATGAGGTAGTGATCAACCCTGTGTTCGAGCGGCACCTGCGGAGGCTAGAGAACTGGACGCTTGGGCAGGCTTTCCATCAGACATTTCCCAAGCTTGCGGGGACGTACAATTTGAAGGTCTAATCGCTCCGGGCAGATATTCTCAAGGGCCGTATGTTTTAATCCAGGAGGTACTCGGCTTAACCCGAATATCGAAAAAGTACGGATCCCGTTGCTTTGTTACATACATGTATAGATATGCAAGAGGCGGCCAGTTAAATGCGATCAAATGTTGGCATTGGATGTTGGTTGGGCGGTGTGGGCTGGGCGGAGGCACAGTATCATTTCTATGGCGTACTTGGCCGGCACGGAAGTCATCATTACCAGGCGGAGAGGCCCAGCTTTATTGAGATATGGTTTGGCGTAACAGGAGAGGCGTAGAACCTCTGGCGGCGAAATATGCATATGGCACTCAAAGAACAGATCGCAGCAGCAGCAGTATAATATTGGACGTCGTTTCCCTGCGGAAAATGGATGATCTGCCTGCTTTCTTTGATGCTTCTACCTTCCCGTCCTAATCTCGTACTTTGATGGGTCGAGGAGCTGTGCCGGCTTTGGACGGGCGAGGTTTCATTACCAAAGACAAAACAGGCCTGGCAGAAGCAGGCAGAGTCAATGCTGTGAAAGCCGCCTGCCAGCAATCTCCCTCTGGAAACCTCAGTCGGTGGAGGTTTTTCAACGGCAGCTGAGTATGGTCTCTCAAAACCTAGCACTCGTCGTCCGCCCCCGGCGCCCCGATCGAAAACATCTTCAGGTTCGGCCCCACGCCAGCGAACAGGCTCGCATGCCTTCGCCCCGGCATCGTCTGGAACTGTAAACTGCGAACCGGCGTCCTCGCCATGACGGCGTCGACTGCGGGACACGCCAGCCTCCGCCCCGAAAGCAGCGAGTACACGCCCACGCGACCGTCATCGTGCGCTGCTGCGACCACGCCCAAATCCACGTCAACGTCCCATCCGACGTGCATGTGTGCCTCGTTCCGGTAGCCCGCAAAATTCACTACGGGCCTCGTACCGTTTGGCCTGCGCTTCCGGTAGCGGATATCAAACAGTGCCATCCGCGACCGCGGCCCTGCGGCGAGGAACTGGTGTGGGTTCACGGCCCTCAGGCGCGCCACGGGCCCGACGGGGATGTTATCCCACTCGGTCCAATTGACGCGCATGTCGATCATCCGGACGTCGCGGTTGCGCCCGCCAGCGAGAAGGACGTTGGGGTTAAAGGGGAGGAATGACTGGTCGAAGAAGTCGCCTTCGGCGGGGCCTGGGCGCGGGCGGGCTGGGCCGAGCCAGTGGATACGTTCGTCTGAGGTGAGCTTGAGGAGGCCGTATGAGGTTCCAATGACACAGGTGAGGGAAGATGACGAGGGCGGTGCTGGTGTCGTTTGATTCACAACGCCTTCGCGGCGGCCCGTGTTGAAGGAGATGTGACGGAGGTTGTTTGCTGATGGATGGGCCGGTGCGTTAGAATAGGGTGTTAAGGGGCGAGTGAGGTGGGAGGAGGGCATTACCTCTGTCGAGTAGCCATAGAGGCCGATCATCGTCTGGGGCGGACCTGGGCGGGGAGAAGAGGTAGATGTCGCATGTGTTTCTTGGTTCGCGGGAGGTCACAATGATGCGGTGGGAATGCGGGTGATAATTGATGGAAGAGATCTGTTGACAACCAATCATCTCATGCCTGTGCGACAGGCGGCGCTCTGGGCGGCTTGAGGCATCGGTGCAAAAAGATATCCTAGTACGATAAGAACATGCGCAGCCATCGGGACACTGGTGAAGCTCACTTCTCGTTCTCGTCGGTGGGAATGTAAGACCCTATCAAAGTCTCCTCATCCAAAGCTAGCGATATCAGCATACCTCCAGCGCCAGCTTGAGGGCCTAGACCTACTAGCATACGCAACACCCAGCCCCGTCTTGATATCATCTCCACCAACATAGAAGCATGGGATATTCGGGAAGCTCTGCCTCGCGAAGCTGGGCACAAACGGCACCTCACCCTTGTCGACAAGCCCTTTCGTCCAGGCCACGACCGGGACGTCCTCCGCACCAACTCCGGCGTGGGTACGCATCCGCCGCTCGCGCCGGAGACCGAGCTCGACGTCGAGAACACCACCAAGGAGCGGGTCCCGCAACACGGCGGAGCGTACAATGTGGCGCTTCAGGCGCTCCTGGCGGGCGGCAACGGCTTCGGCCTCACGATGCTGTATCTTGCGGCGTTTGACGCTGTCCGCGGACCAGAAGGCGCCCTGCGGTGCCGATGTGTTCTTTTCGACCTTGAAATACTTGCCCTTTTCCTCATCTAGCCGTCTTTCAAGTTAGCTAAGACGGAATCTGGGAAGAGGAGGAGGATCGTGAGGGGCGTGTGTATAGTACCGTAGTAGTACCCTGGGATTTGAATCCGCTGTTGGGGTGCCATGGTGTTCAGGATTCAGTCCGGCTTGATGGGGCCAGTGCCTTGGGTCCGTAATGGTATAGTTAGAGGCTAGAGCGTGATTGTGTGTCTCCTCAGTGTGGACACGACTAGAACCTAGCGATATGGGCGGCTAAAGATAGTATACCCCAACGGGGAACTAGTTAGAGAAGAAATAAATCTACACTAGTTTGCTTCCTCGATTCGAGATTCAAACAGGGGCACCACAGTTTGGCCGACTAATCAAGGACGCTGTGAGCGGCCTGCCGGCGTGTGGGTGTAAGTGTTAAGCTGCACGGTTTCTGAGAGGTTGGCGTGCCCGCGAGGTGAGAGGGGCGGAAACGTGCATGAAAATACCAGTAAGATGTCGTGGTGATGACGAGAATGATTGGAATCGGTAGTTACGTTCCGTGGAGGGAGGCCGGCAAGATGAGATGGCATCGGTGACTCTGAAGTGCAGCTCTCCGTTGGATACGCGACAATGATGGGTGTGACGGGGATGGAATGGCGAGGAAAAAAGGATGGATGGTGGTTGTGCAAATGTGGAGACGCCGTGGCCGAAGATGGAAGAGAAAAAAAGAGTGGGTCACATCGCGGTGAGGTGAAGTGGCGGGTCGGTGCCGGAGCCGGCATTGACATGATTATTCTCCAGGAGGTCAGGTGCGGAACATTCATTCTGGGTACCTACCTTCCTACCTAACTATAAAGGCAGGCATTGCAAAACGGCGCTTCCAAAAGCAAAAGAAAATAGAGGAAGCTAAGTTGGGAAGGCACAGAAGGCGGGCAGCCAAGATGCGGCGGCCTATTAGGTTAGTAGCTAGTCTGGGGTAGGCTCGCTGGAATCGGACCGGCGTCCGCCATGTTGGTACCAATCTGTCCCCTTCACCGCCCTCACCGTCTCGTTTGCCCTAGTGCGCCTTACTGCGACAACAACAGCCGGTCCGATGACCTGGCGGTTCTGCCCTTTACTAATAGAAAGCTTGGCCTCTCTTCGCCAACTCCAAAGTTCTCGCTGATCAGGCGGCCCCGAGAGTAGGGGCGTTGTTCGCCATCCAACGGCTGGCTAGCTTGTTAGGTAGGTGGGTTTGCTGTAAGGCTGCTGGCCACGGCCTGACAACGATCCCGGCGCTGACCACGCCGGTCTACGACGCCTCCGGCCATCATTGCCGGACGTAGTGTACAGCCAGCGCCGGAGGTTCCAGGGGCATGTGGCCGCCGGACAATGGGCCGTATAGATCTTGGCAGCCATGACAGCCGCGTTGCAGTGCAATAGACGTACTGGTGATTCACTGACTGGCTCGCTGCGAGCTTCACCCAGACTCTACGGGCTCAAGACGCACGCAATTCGGAGGTGCAACCGTCGTAGAACCTCCCCTCCAAAACCTATAACCCAAGCCCCGGGACCAGCTGTCTCTTCCCCCCATGCTGTTCCACGCGTTCTATTTCAACGCTCTCTCTCTCTCTCTTTCAATCCACTCCCCCACTCTCAACCCCTCCCCCCAAAAGCATCATCTAGTCCCCACCCAGTTCCCAAAACTACCCCTCCACCCCTCACATAGCTGTCGGAGAGCTTTGCTGCCCCTCCCTCCTCACCCCTTTTTACCAAACATCACCGTTACAAACTACCTGCCTACCTGCACACCAACCTCGACGCTGATTGCTCAATCGAACGTTCCAACAAACATCCCCTCCTTTATCATCCTCCCCGAACCGCGACAATGGTCTACACAATCACCGTCCACCTCCACGCAAACGACCACCCGGACTCGGTCGACCGCATCAAGGCCAAGCTCATTGAGGCCTCGCGCGTCTACTCCCAGGACCGCGAGACCGTCAGCTGGTTCGTCATGCAGGACGTCCACGACCCCCGGTCCTTCACCATTGTCGAGCGCTTCGAGACTGAGTTTGTAAGTGGCGCCGGCCGGCATGGCTGCATCACACCACCCTTATAATCACAAACACACACATACTCTCTCTCCTCATCATCCTGCGAGGATATTCACGCATGGTGTTTCGTTCGCTGACCAACAATCACTACAGAGCCAAAAGTACCACCTCGAGAACCCCTACTGGAAGACGTTTGACCCTTATGTTGTGCCTCTACTCGACCGCCCCATGGACCTGAGAAGACACGAAGAGCTGGATACTTCCAAGGACGTTGTTGTTCCTCAGTAGAAAACCACGTGACTATATACATACAATGGAAATAAAGTCATGATAGAAGCAGACCGAGTGACTACTGCTTGACTGAAGCAATGACCTGTTGTTTGCTCAACCTTACCAGTCATATACACTGCTCCCCCCACAGGTAGTCAAGTGACCGCTTTGAAAAGCAGTATAAATTGTTTACTGCTGGTTTTGATTCTGTGGCAAGGGCCTACGAAGCTACGTCTAAGGATATAGATTTCACAGGTGGGAACCTAGTAATTTTTTTTACTCATTTTACGAATTTGTATTAGGTCTATAACGCACTAAGGGTATTCTCTCCCTCTCCTCACTCAATCACAGTAATTACCGATGATAATTTATATCATCGTACAACTTTAAACATAAAAGAAAGATGAACGTCGTGGGCGTAAGTCGGCATCTCGTCCGGTCTCATTAGGGGCCAGAGTCAATCAGGCCCAGGAGGGTCCTGCGGAGTCGACAAGGCTCGGCCATGACGCATTCTACGTCATGGACACACCTGGCTCTGCCTAGGAGTTCCTCTTTACTGAGACTTCTCGTGCTGGGTGGAGACACGCTGCAAAGAAACGACTGATGAAACGGTTAGCCGCTATTCTGTGACAAGACTCATTACGAGTGGGGTAATGAATGTTATGTAAACTTACCAAAGTCCTCGAGAGAACGCTGCTTTTGGCTGCCCTTGGGCGATTTGCCATGCATGAGGTTGTCGAAGCCAGTGCTGTCCTGAAGGAGGTAGTAGACACCGGCGCAGACGCAGAAGACACCGAAGGAGAAGATCCAGATACGAACAACGGCGACAATGGAGGTGTTGCTGTGCTCGAACCAACCCCAGATGGTGAAGCAGGTGGCGATGATGTCGACGACAAAGATGGCGCCGGCGAGCTGCCACGAGGGGATGGAGGACCAGAAGGGACCGTTGGCACGGGTGATGAAGATGAGCCAGTTCTCGGTGAGGGAGATCTGGAGGAAGACAACCTCATCGAGGTTACCGAAGTTCTGGACGATACCACCGTTGGGGCCGTGGGCGTACATGGTGGTGACCGTGATCCAGGTACCGACGGCGAGAACAATACCGAGAAGAACGGACATACCCCAGAGCTTGGGCAGGTTCCACTTGACGGGGCTCTTGGAGAATGGGGCATTGTCGTAGGCGATGGCCAGGGTGGCGATATCGGCGAAAATGGCGATGAAGACGACAAGCTCAATGTTCAGGGAACGGTTGAGGATGGCGATCCACAAGCCGAGGAAGATCTCCAAGTGGATGGACAGGGCGATACGGTAGACGACATAGGCGTACATGCGGTGGAAAATCTGGCGAGAGGTCTTCAGGGCGTCAATGATGGCACCAAGACCGGGGGCAAGGAAGACGATGTCGGCGGCGGAGCGAGCAGCGTCAGAGGCGCCCTCGACGGCGATACCGGTGTCAGCCTTCTTCAGGGAGGGGGCATCGTTGACACCGTCACCAGTCATGGCAACGAGGTAGCCACGCTGCTGGAGAATCTCAACGACGTTGTACTTGTGCTGGGGGAAGACCTCGGCGAAACCATCGGCAGCCTCAACGAAGTCGTAAACCTCGGAACCGGGCATGTCACCACCACCACCAAGACCGAGGCGCTCAGCGTTGTAGATGTTGGTGCCAAGACCGAGCTGGCGGGAAGTCTCACGAGCGATACCAACAGCGTCACCAGTCAACATCTTGATGGACAGACCGAGAGACTTGGCCTCGTTGACAGTGCGGGCGGTGTCGTGACGAGGGGGGTCAGAGCAGGGCATGATTCCGAGAATCTCCCAGGAACCGTTGTCGCCGCGCTTGCGGGCAACACCGAGAGAGCGGAAACCACGGGTAGCAAACTCGGCAACCTTGTTCTTGTAGGCCTGGTCAATCTCCTCAGGGATCTCGTGGTCCTGCTCGACAGTCTTGAGGACGAAGAGGGGAGCACCCTTGACGCAGGTAATGCGCTCACCAGCGGGGGACTGAACGAGGGCAGTAACCTTCTTGGAGACGGGGTCAAAGGGGAAGAACTCGAGCACCTGGTACTTGGACAGAACAGACTTGGCGCGAGGGTAGTAGCGCAGAGACTTGAGGAAAGCCTTGTCGATGGCGTCCATACCCTTCTTCTTGCGGGAAGCAGCCAAGCAGGCAGTGAGCATGAGGTCTTCGGGGTCGACACCGGCAACAGTGTAAGGCTCGGCCAGAGAGAGCTTGTTCTTGGTGAGGGTACCGGTCTTGTCAGAGCAGAGAATCTCGACACCAGCAAGGGACTCGATGGCGGAGAGCTTCTGGACAATGGCCTTCTTCTTGGCAAGGTAGGCAGCACCGACGGCCATGGTGGTGGTAACGACGGCGGGAAGACCGACGGGGACACCAATGATGGTAATGGCGAGGGTGAAGCGGAGGATGTCGACAATGTTGTTGGAGCGGTAGAAGGAGGAAACCCAGACGATGAGCAGAGTGAAGATGACAAGGACCAAGAGAATGGTACCGATGCCGTTCAGGACCTCAGTGAAGTGACCAGAGCCGGCGGAAGCAGCGTTGACGAGAGCGGCGGCGCGACCGACGAAGGTGTTGTCACCAGTGGCGGTGACAATGATGAAGGCCTCACCACGCTTGACGGCGGAAGAGGCGTAGCAGTTGTCGTTGCGGTGCTTGTCAACAGCCAGAGACTCACCAGTGATGGCGGACTGGTCGACTTGAAGGAAAGCGTCCTCGGTGACAATGCGACCATCAGCGGGGATGATGGTGCCCTCCTCAACCTGAAGGATATCACCAGGGACGACTTCGGGGGCCTCAACCTCCTTCAGGGTACCATCACGGAGGACGACAGCCTTGAGAGCGAGGGTCTTCTTGAGTTCGGCGACAATCTAGAGTGGAGACGGTCAGCAATGTGATCTTGGGGCACCCTTGGCAACGCATGCCAGGGATGTGGGGCAATGTTGACTTACAGATCCGGCCTGGAATTCCTGAACGAAACCAACGGCAGCGTTGAGCAGCAAAAGACCGCAAATAACACCGAAATCGACCCAGTCCTCAAGACCAGCCGCCAGGACGGCGGCAGCCTCCATGACGAATTGAATGGGACCAACGAAGAACATGAAGAACTTGAGGATCAGGTTCTCCTTCTGCTCAGCCATCTCGTTGCGGCCCCACTTGCGGCGGCGGTTGAGAACCTCCTGCTCAGTGAGACCAAGGCGGGTGTCGGTCTGAAGCTGCTCCTCGGGGACGACGCGACCCATACCGGGAGTTCCATCTTCTACAAGGGAGACGACGTTAGCAAAACTTGATCGACGGTGACGGGACTCGTCGAGGCGAGACTTGGCAGCAAAAGCAAATGCTATAGGCCGACATCTCGTCGGCGGACCCAAGGGGTGGCAACGTACCCTCTTCCTCCTCATCGACATGACCATCCTGGGACTCGAGGTCCTCGATCAGGGCGTCGATGTCCTCATCTTCCTCCTCGTCGGCCTCAACCTTGGGGTTGGCGGGAGGAGCGTCGACGGGGCGTTCCTTCTCATCGAACTTGTGGCTCTCAATGGGCGTGCTGAGAGCAGGGGCCGCAGTGGC